GGTTTTATCAAAAATCTCAAACAAGAGCAATGGTGCAAGAGAATGGTCTGAAAAATCACCTTTCTGTACAATAGTCGGATAAAAAATGGCAATCTTGAAAATTCAGGTTGTAACATAATTTACCCGCCAACTTCGTGGAACAATTTTGTTTCTGAATAAGTGTAAAAAAATTCTTTAGTGCCATTTTTAAAGACATATGTAGAAAGGCGCATGACTCTTATGCATTCGTTACACTGTGCCTATCACTTCGATATTTCGTACTGGTCTTGAGAATTCGATAAACTGAGTTCAGCGTACTGAATCCATGAAAATGAATTAGGCTTATACACTCGAGTATTAATTACAGGATTCCATAAAAATGATTTAGGCTTATACAGTATTATTATTTTTCTGCCGAAAGACTCGATTGATCGAAAGAGCTTCTGAGGAAGCCACAGTTATGATTCCGAGGAATCATCACCGAAGAAAATGTGATGTACCTGTATGTGAAAAGATGACTCATTGTTGTCGCGATCCATGTCCTGGGGGAGCGGATGCATACTTCTGTCTAAATTAGTCGGCCGGACGAAAAACTCGCAGAAAAACCCTTTCGAGATTTTGTTTTTGTGGAGCTGAAAGCCTCGTCCGATGTGCAAAAGATGTGTTGTTCAAAATTTGCAGAAGCAGGAACTCATCCGTCCCCGGCGGAAGTTGTCCGCAAAGATCCCCTGAGGCGGCGTGGATGGAGAAAAAATCTACACGAAGCAGGTCTTGTGCCTCAAGTCGGGCGCGAGAAAAACGGATGGAGCGCAGTATGAAATCGCGATTTCGAGCCCATTTCGGGCTCGGAAATTTCTTTCCGGCTGCTGCGGAGATGGCTTGTCCCCCTGCGGAGATGTTCCCTCCGCTGCTTCAGGGGGTGAAGAAAAAAGCATTTGAAGCATCAAGTGAGAAACATCTTTCCCGGATGGCACTGAAAATCGTCCCAAGCCGTCGCTTTGTTTCGCCGAAGGCTGTGTCCGCTCGTTCCACCTCCAGTTCCGGACCCTTTTAGCTTTGCCTTCTGCAAAACATTTTTTTTGAGAATTCAGCAGATAAGAGATACAGTATCATTGATCATATCCTGATTCGTCATTTTATTACCTGTAATAGATAGGAGAACTCCACGGACTTCCACAAGCCAAGCGTTCAATAATTTTGCCAATTTTGTGATTGTAAGACATTACCGTTTTCTGTAAACTCGTACGAGATAGCTCATCCATCCAATAAAAATTTCATAAAATTTTCACAACATGTAGAGCACTTTTTTGAATCCATTAGCGTTAGGTTTGATCCATGAGATACCCCAAAATTTCAACAGACTTCTTTTTCACGAATGACTGATTCTAATATTAATCAAGATTTGGAGAAATATTTGTCAAATCGGTTCGTGTCATATTTAAGATGTGTTTCATTGGCTAGCAATCATTTTTTTCTTTTCGCTTGTCTCTAATGTGTATGGTGTATGATTTGGGGAGAGAACACGCGTTCCTGAACCCTGATAATCGGAGTTATGCTATGCAAACAGCGTCTTGCGTAACCTAGCTGACAAGATTACAGCGGGATTCAGCAGAGAAGGGAACATTTATTTCATAAATATCAATGCATGCTGTTTTTAATTTTCATTTTTTTTAGAATTAGTGACATGCCGTTTGAAGTATAGATCTCCGACAGGAGTGCTATGTACAGGTTATTATTTTGTTTAGTAAACTCCTTGCTCGATGAAAGACGAGATTTGCATTATAACCCATTATGCAGTACCTTTCAAGTCTTCGTGGGCCTCTAATTTTAAAAGTTCCATCAGCATATTCAAATTAAATGGCGTTTTCCAGAAGTCTCTGAAATATTCGTGCACCGGAAACTACTGTACAATCAAGGACGCAATTTTCATGAATATTTTTCAGGTCTTTTGTTATACAGTACTAGCATTTATTGTTACGTGTCAGTGTGACTCAAGATTTGCTTGAAAACCGAAAATGACGTTGAGTGAAGTTTGAAACCGTACCTGCAGTATAGTGGGAAGAAAAATACTCCACGCAGATCATATGCAGACCATCATGAATATATAAATCAAAACTCCACTTATAAAAATATATGGATTTCAAGCAAAATAAAATTTTGATTTTCGTCCCTGAATACAGTATAATAGTCCAGTATTAACCTAGCACTTACATCTGGAAAAAGCTTCTATCCTAGGATTTCATGCAGAACTCCGTAAGTCGGGAGGAATGATTTTGCTAATGACTGATTGCACTCATAAAAAATCGAAATCCCACTATGCATTCGCAACCGGTTCTTGAATTAATTTTCCGGGCTACGCGTCGAGTATATGTACAGTTATTTGAAATTATTATGCAGGATCATGGAATGGATCCTGCATAATAATTTAAGTGAAAAAGAACGTGAGAATGCAGTGAAGAACTGTATATTCTCACGTTGAATTTATTGAACTAGTACTGTACTAGTAATCTCTCTACAGTGCATAAGCAAATGTACTGTTCCCACTGAGCATCAACCTGAATTTTTCTGGAAATCATTTCTAAACCGACCGCTTTTCTTACGGATTAACAAAATATACGGATTTTCTGCGGAAATGTCGAGTGCTGCAAGTGTGAAATCCAATTCTCAAAGCACGGTAATGGCCGCGTGGGCGGCTTGGTTTCGTAATACTGTACTCAGGGGGTCGTTGAATTGCGCAGAATCTTCAAAGTTCTACCAGCTCTTATAATGGCTGACACCGTGCTTTTCTTTTCCTCTCCAGCATCGTGCGAATGTACACGCTTATTTGCCTCGAGCAATTAATTTGCAGCTTTTACCTCGAGGAGCATCTGCCGAGATAGCCCCCCAAAGATAACGCTGCGAATCCAACCCGTACCCTTGCGAGTGGATGCTAGAGAAGATTACAGAAATTTTCAAATTACGGTAGAAATTCTTCGAAGAACTGTGGACTATACTGTCAATTTTCAAATGAAAATCTGAATGATTGAATGCCTGAATTTATGTCTTCATTTTTTGTTGTTGATAAAATATACATTATCGGGGACTGCAACAGCATCGTATACTATATCTCTCTCCCTCTCTTTTTCTCGATTGGAAACGGTTAAGCACATCCAAACGATTGATCAATCCGAGGCAATTGCAGATGATTAAAAGTATATCCATTACTCCGTCTCACACTCAGGTCTTGAAATGTTTTTTTCCTTTTTTGGACATTCCGCTTTTTTGATTAGAGTTGGCGACAGCGGTATGCAAACGAAGAGCATCACACGCTCAGGAAATCCGAAACCCTTCAGAAGAACTTAACATGATCGCCATTCGATTTAGCCTCTGCTGCGAGCTGAGATTGACTTGTTGCCCCTCTTCAATGAGCCGCCTCAGGTTGCAACCCAACCATTTATTTCGACCCGGTCTTCACATTCCATTCCATTTCCAGGGCTTTAATTCGTACCCAAATTACCTAAAACGTTTTTTTTAACCTTTTGTTTGTTGGCCCGTTGATCACTGAGATTCAAGTAAATCCAAGTCGTGCGAATGCAACTTCAGCGGTCGGCAACTCTGTTCATGCACTCGAGCGCACATTCTCATCAACGCCGACCGTCACCGCGTTGATCGGAATCTTACGCAGAACAAAATGCACGGAAAATGCTTAATCTCAGCATTTACACGGTTGAAGAATTTGTGGGTATTTTTTTTCTCTTCCCAAGAATTGAAAGCCTATCTGGCGAAGGAAAAAAGAAAAAACAAGCACAGTGTATTACTGTACTGCCCGCAATGTTCACCCTTAGGTTGGGCAACGAGCACAAATCCGTTTACTTCGGGTCAAATCATTAATCGAGCGTCCAAGAACAAAACCAACAAAGGAACGAAAAGAAAACAGCGATTCCGAAGGTCTCTTCTTGAGGACCCGCTCCACTATTTTATTCATTTTTAATGGTACCTGACTGATCATATTAGACTAATTAGAGCGTAATAGGAGCGCGAGACATATAATTCAATCCCCCTCAAAATTGACCGATGTTCGGAAGAGCGGTGATTAAATTCAATGCTTTCTGCTTAAGGATCATTATGAAAATTAAATTGTCGGTTAGCATTCGAGGAGCGGTTCGTGGAGAGCATCGTGCACTTTCCGCTCATCATGCAATCTAAGCCAGAGTTATATGATGTATATGCATAGTACCTGAGGAGCATCTTGATCTAGAGATAAAAAAGAAAAGAAGAAACAATGTCAATTGTTGAGATCCTCGAACATCTAGAGAATTTTAAGTCGGATTATGGGATCAACGCATATGAAACTACTGTATTCGATTATGAAACCTGATCGAAAAAGTAGACCGGGATTATTACGGATTTTAAATTTTGGATTTAATTTTTTAAAGTATATAATTGTCCAAGAAAGCCAAATTTCTCCGATATGAAGGCGTGACTTGTCCTTTGATGAACCTAATATTGTACTGTTTATGGGTACACTCTACTGTACAATAGCTTTTTAGAGAAATCAACTGCTGATAACAGTATCCCATATATTTCAATTATCTGGGTTTTCTCTCAATCGTGTACTTCTTTCAACGACGAAATTAGTTCGTCAACTGAACTTTATCAGAATTGTGCGAGATCGGGCAACCCAGTTTATTTCCGTTACCCAGTTGTAAAAATTATGCTCATGTTGAAATACTGTACAGTAGTTCGACACATAAATCGAAAAGCGTGCATAGTAACATGTCAACGGCGCAGGGAATACTTTTCCGGATGAACATTAGTTGGACAAAACATAGCACCGAATCGATGATTGGTTCAACGGGAACTGCCATTTCATTTGTAACGTGATCCACCTGCGGGTTCCGCATGATGCTTGGTGGAGTGCGTCTTTCTAATCAGTCGGCAGTCACCGAGCTTGGACGAACCTAAGGTGTACGGTAAGCAGTCACCCGGTTGCTGGATGTTCAGCAAAGCGTCTGCATGATCTTCGGATTAGATTACGGAACATGAGGTGCATGGATATCCCTCGAAGCTGGCTGGCTTACGCAGCCTCCGTCGACCGTGCGTGTTGGCAACCGCATGAGTGGGGGGGGGAAGGCCTCGCGGCGATTAGATACGCTTGTATAAAAGTCGGGGCTCCCCGGGCCGATGCTTAGTCCGCCAGACACGGCGAGAACCAAAGCACAAGCTCAAGCAAAGCCGGCGCGGGCATAGGCCTCCCTCCGTGGCACTTGTTCTTTCTCGGGCTAGTCTCTCGCTCTGCCGTCAAATCACTGCAAATTTATCGAGTGAATTTGCTGGAAATCGAAATAATTTGTATTTGAAAAATCTCAATCATTTTTAAATATTGAAGTAACTTGAATTCGAAGTTTTTTCCCGATAATTTAAATGCATTGAATACAACTAAGGGAGCTGGAAGTAGGGTAACCGGCATTTTGTCCGGCTGTTGCCCGTAGGACAGCTATCTGAACGCCTCTCGTCTTTCCTTCGGTCAGTTCCGTCTGTTCAGGCGGTTCGCAACGTATCCCTTAGTCCGGCGGAATTGAAGTTACGAGATTCGCCTCCTTTGCCTGTTGCATTCTTGCGTCAAGCGCATCGCGGTGTCCCTTGCGTCTGTGAAAAAATCACTAGATTTGAGAACAGTGTGCGTGAGCGCTTGATCGTAGGTGCTGTGAGACTGAGCTCTTCGCCGCTTCACAAAGGTAAGTACAGTACCAAACTGTATAGGCGACACAATTCTCCTGAGTTTCATTAAACCGAATCTTGGAACCAGTCAACTTTCAGTTAGGTGGGGATAAGGGTGGAATACAGTATGTAGTAATCAAGTTCAAGAGTGCCGCATTGTTCGCGAGCGGATGTTGTCGACATACGCGCACAGTACTGTACTGGTATATCTCCCGAAGTCCCTCGTGTGATGGAAAGTTGGTCAGCTACTCATCCAGTTACGGTGAATAACTAGTCCATGTGGTCCACATCTATTGTTCGGGGGAAAGACAGTGTACCGTATTTACCGCGTTACCACGTACATTTTTTTTTTTTTAATTCGGAAAGAAAAGGGGTTGCAAGTCATAAGAGGGTATACAGTAAATTTTTCAATAATTTTTAGAGATTTAGGTGTTCATCAAATAGTATTTGACTCTTATAGAATAAGTTTGAATTTACAGTACAGTATTTTAATGAAAAAATCTATTGTATTGGAAAACATTTGAAATCACTTGAATTCATTTCTAATTTCAAATTTGTTCATTCTAATTTTTTTAATATTGCCATTTTAGTTACTAAATAATTAAGGTGTGCGTCTTATTTGGGGATACAATTTTATGCAAAAAAAATTATTGAAAAACTCTTGCGTTTGTCTTACTTCAGGGCGCAAGGTACTCAAGAAAATATGTTTAAACCCCATTTACAATATGACTAAATCTTGCAAATCTGTCTGCAAAAATAAATACATGTTTGAAAAATAAATACCAGTTGAACCTGGATAACTCAAACCTCCCTAAGTCAAATACCTCACTAAGTTGATTTTTTCAGGCCCTGTCTGAATCCCCTTAGAATTAATGAATTTAAACGCTCCATAAGTCAAAGGCTTTTCACCTGGAACCTCCATAAGTCAAATTTTCTGTGGCCTTTTTGCCTTTATTTTCTCAAAACAAGAAACCAAAAAAGAACAGAATTTGATTTGTTTTAAAAGGAGGTGAGATACTTAATTGGGCAAATGAACCCTGCCTCCAAGTTCAGGATTCTTTCAACTTACTTAAGAAGTAATTTCAGCCTCAGAATATCACAATTTACAATTTTGAGCTTTTTTATGTTTCCCAGAACAAAAGGGCTTTGTATTGTAGCTCAATTCAAAACCTCCCTAAGTAGAATTTTTTGCTGGTCCCTTGAAATTCGACTTGGTTTGACTGTAAAATGAAAAATAATCATAAAAATAATTATAAAATAATTATGAAAATAATTTTAAAAATGTCAAAAATCTGTTAAAAAGTAATATTGCTTGCTGTATATACTCAAATGCTACCCAATTTGTACTCTGAATTTTGTGCAAAAAATCATAATAAATCTTCCAATTAATTGAATTTGCTTGGTGTAGATTTGCAGGTAAAAATAGCCTGTTTCCTTTATTGTTACTGATACACGCTTCAGAAAAAAAAATAATTTTATGATGATGATGAATAAAATTGAGTGAACCCCTACTGCCATGAGCAATTTAAAAAAATAACATAAATTCTTTTAAATACTGTGGAATACCATATTCAGTTTCATGTCATAAACTGTATTTCTGGTGGAAATATTCAAAAAGGTAATATTGAAGCATGGGTTACCAGACTCCTACTGTCGAAGAAATGGATTATGGACATTATTCGATTTCTTCTGTTATTGTACCATTTTCGCTAGTTAACGTTTAAAATTTTGAAACTCGACAAATGGAGTGAAATCTTACATTGTGTTCAATGAAGCAAAGTACTGCATTTATCTGGGAATTTCTTCTATCCTTTTCAAAACATCAAACCATTATTTTTGGTCGTTTGCTTTGTTTTCCGCCGCAGATAAATCTGCAGCGGAGCTGAAGGCATCTCTCGCATGCAATTGCAGCATAATCCTTCGCGAATGCTGCTGAAGGAATACTGTATGTTGTTCAAACCTTATTCTGGAATAATGATGTTATCTTCCCGTCCATCAGCTGGTTGGCTAAAATAGGTCATGCTTCTTCGTTGTTTTCCGAGAGATTCCTCGCAATCTTTCTCGAGTTTTCCGCTACTCAAACCTTGCTTTGAGAACTTTGTAATTATCTCCGCATCAAGTTTTGCGTTTCGATGTTAAATGAGGTGCAGCTGATGCTTTTACCGGCGCGTCAGTGGATCGTCTCGAAGCGGACTTTGTCTGAAGAGTTTTCCCACCACGTTTCGAAGTAGAACAAAAAGAGTAAAGAAAAAAACATTGCGAATTTCTTCTCCGCGAATAATCATTTATTTTCTTGATGCTTTGTTTGTCGAATTACACTAAATAATTTCGGAAAGGGAAGGGATGACCACGAATTTTGTGGATGAGGAGTCGCCTTTTTTTAGTGCGTCAGAAATTTATACTGATCCATCTCGAACGAGTTTCTGCGGATTTAGTCTCGCTTTTTATCATGTTCCTTCGATAATTTTAATAGAAAATTGGAAAATCCTAATCCTCATTTCATATTAATCATTTTTCTTAAAATTATGTAAATCCGGAATTTTCTAGGCTTAGCATTAAAATTTGTACTCTCAAAACATCTCGTATGATTAAGTGTATAAATTTATTATCCGTTCAATACGGTTTAATAGACATTGAAATAAATTTCGAGACCTTCAACTTTCGTGTGAACCAACATTTTAAATACAATACTGTATACAATATTCCGAAATCTTTTGATGAATTTTTGTAATGGATTCATCGAGGACTCTCCGCGAAAATTGGGTCTGGGCACGTTAATTCATCGGCTTCAAAGCACATCCATGTACGAGCTTCAGGAAAAGTGTTTCTTTGCTTATGAATTCATGCTAAACTTCGCAGAAGTTTTCACCCATGTGCTCTTGCGACTTACTGAAACCGAATCCTGTTGATATATGTAAGGGTCTAATTCTGTGTTTACTTGGTGATTACCAAATATCGGGGTCCAGTATATAATAGTGCCATATTTTGAGATTACACGACGGCAATCGTTCGACCGAACTTCAAAAATTGAAATTGTTCGCTCTTGAATTGTTTCTAAGGTCTTCGTTTTTTCGAACAGCCACGAGTCTAATCAAATTCATTGACTTTTTTGAAGAATTGATGTAACTTTTAAATTTCTTTTTTGTGTACTCGAGCATCACTCGAAAAATGCGGATCTATCATATAGCAGTCCGTAGAATTTTTTTCCACTAGTGACGCCTCTTTACTGTGTGTGAAATAGGAACAACGTTTTTCTGCTGTAGGACGAAATTAATACTTCCCCACCATATTAGCATTGTTTTCTCTGTTTCCAGCTAAGTCCTCTGCGCCTCGTGGAAATCAGACACCGCGTTTTTTAATCTCAATTTGGACGTGTAGTTTATATCTGTTCATGACTCTTGAATTTTTTTTTTAGTAGGAAAGATGATTTTTAAAGAAGTGTCTGCTGTTATCTCTTACGTTCAAACATCTCGAGATTTTCGTGGGACAACTTTCCGCGGGAAGTGAGCCGAATGCGAGGGCTCGCGGTCTCTACGGGCCACCTTCTATAGAATGCTTAGAACCCGCGCGCGATGAAACGATATTACCTGTTGACGATATGCGGTCAAATGTCACGGCAACACAGGGCTTTATCAAAGCTTTAATGACGCGGATTCTGGATGAGCCTCGCTCCGACCCTTAGAGGTGCATTCGCACGTGATGCGGGGAGTATGCCTGGGATGACGTCTGCTTTGCTCGAAGGGAAGTGCCTCTTCGTCCGCAAGCTCCATCGACTATTATCTGTGTGACGTGACCCTGTTGTGAGATAGGTCATAGGTGTTAGAATTCCTCCATTTGGTGGATATTGATAATTATTCGGCTTTTTTTTTGCTTCAGTGCGAAGACCCACCTTTCAAGTACTACATTAGTTCTCCCTACCTATGTTATTAAGCATTCTGGAAGTCTCCCGGGAATCCATTCCTGGAGTCCCTCACGCATTGCAAGAAATTAATTTTGACTCATGAAACCTTGCTCATCGCTCGTCTCATTGTACACAACTACTTGGACTCAGTTAGGATGAAGAAAATTTGAATTATGTTCGAATTTATGATGAAATCTCCCGTTTACGCTGTTACGAAAGGTGTGATCTAAAATTGCAATTAAAGTTCATCAAGTACTGCATAGACTGCACCACAGTTCCATATTTACGCAATTAATGACTTAATCGGAGTTCTCGGCGAAAAAATTATGAGGATTAAACTGCCTGTGCATAGGCAGAATCTGCGAATTTTTCTGGAGAAAAAGAAGATTTTTGTTAGGTTTCGGCTTGATGAGATCAAGAGCATTCAAAAGATCGTCGGATGAAGAAATGAGATCTGAAGTCGTTGAGAACAGACAATTTGAAAGCCATTTCAAATAATAGTGACTTCAGGGCGTTCAGTAATTCGACCTCTCCATGGCCGAGATCCTAGACTTGAATTCTTCGTAGTTTTCTTGTTGGTATGGTCAATGAAATTCTGGAAAAGCTTCATTTTTCGAAAAATAATGGGTTCATATTCGAAGGGACATAAATGTACTGTGGACAATTTTTTAATCGGACGTTTTCCGCCGACGCGCAACTTTTTTTTTTTTACCTGGAATCCGTTTTCTTTTTGGTCCGCGGATTCACATGAGACACTTTTCGTGAAACCACATATCCATCATTAATGTTCGTAGTGAAAAAATATTCATTTTTAATTTTATAACTTTTATTTCTGTTGTCTAAATTTAGGCAGGTACTCAAAATTTTCTCGTTCAGCCTAAAATACTCTGTACCTCTTACAGTAGAGCCGCTGGTTTTCTAAGCTAATTACTGTACTGCAATCCTTGGCGGATTGATTAAATATCAAGATAAGCAAAATGTATTTCGGAATGAAGAATAAATCTTCTTAAAACGATGATCTGATGTTATGCTACTGACATTTGGGCTAGTCTCAAAGAAAAGACTTTACCCAGATTATGACCTTCACAAGGTCTCATATTTGTCCTGATTAAGGGGAAAGTTGGACCCGATTATTTGAAGCTAGGGTGATAAACCGCATTGACGATTTCCGATCAATTTCGATGGAGCTCGTGACGATTATTAATCCACCACCACTGACTTCAAGTCGAGGCCTTGAAAGCGAGGTGTTACGACGCTGTCGTCATCGGAAATGGGTTTCAATCGCCGTCTGGTATTCCATGACGTGCTGTAATGAACTTCTCGATGTCCTCGAGAGTCCCTCACTCGATACATCTTCGAAGTCAGCAAATGACTTGAATTTTAAGTGAAATTGAGATCAATGTCGGCGCGGCCGAATTCCAAGATTTCTATAGAAATTGCGCGTCAAGTTCTCTCGCCCGAAAACATTCTACAGTCTTGAAAATAAAAACGGCAGCCCTGAAATTTAGTTTTCCTCGGCAAAATTTCAACAGAACTAGGTTCTTGATATGCTGATTGTCAGAGGGCTCCAGAGCGGCTGCGCTCATCTGGATGCTTTCCGGTGAGTTCGACATCTGCCTACTAGGTAAGGAGGAGTTCTGAGTCTCAGCTGTCACGAACCCGTTCCCTTAGCGTCGGATCAGGCTGTTCAAAGCCTGAGTTTGGATTTTGCGGCAATTGTTGGGGTTCCGCAAAGTAATACAGATCGATTATCCTCGGCGGGACTGGATTTCTTTGAACGACTCCCACGGTGTCTGGGACAACCAACCCGTCTACCATGAAGAAAAAGAATTAGGTACCGTCTTTTTGTGCTTTACTTCTTCTTTGTCATAAATTGTTATTTATTCTTAATGTCTATGAAGAGGTCATCGAGTGCTGTAACTTATGTATCGCTGGGTGTAATATTTCCCTGAAACCCGCAAACTTTTTCTGAATTTTTTAATCAATTCACCAAGGATTCAAAGTTTAAAAAAGGAACATCCATTGCCCCTGATTCATCTGTTTGAGCTGCGAGGGAGCATCAGGAAAGCAATACGGTATGGACCGTATCCCAACCAGGCAGTAGGGAAGCAGTATGGTATTTACCGTACCGCTTCACGCCAGGAACGCAGTACAGTATTTATTGTACCGTTTTGTGGTATGGTATGCATCGTACCTCTCCACAGCTAAGTGAAAATGGATTGTCCTGATGCCCCCACAATTTTACACCTTCCATTTGGTATTATAATTGTGGGTTGTATTGATTGTAACTAGTGGGGATCTTCACCCCAGTACTAGTTTCTCAAAATGACTGTAATTTGGGGTTTTGTATTAGATTGGGTGGGAAATCCTCACCAATGTTTTATTTGGTTTAATTTGTGGTGAATTGGGAATTTCTCACTGCAAGGCATTTATGTTTTACAAGCTGCGGTGCCCAGCCACACCTGGGCATTATAAAATTTTAGATGTGAAAATTTTGATCAGATCACACATTGAAGAGAGCATGCCCAGTTGTGTGGCCCAGTCACACCTCTGTGCATTAAATGAAAAAAATGAATGTTACTATAGCTGGTTACTTGTTAAAGGACCACTGGTAATTTTGCACTTGTGCTCAATGTGCCAGTTGTAGCCAGGTGGGCCACAACTGGCACATGTGCAGGGGGATTTTATTATTTGCTACAAACCCGCAAACCTACTGGGGTGCCCAGCCACACCGGGGCATTGGACAAATTTTAGTTTGGGAAACTTTTATGCATTACAAAAATAAATACATGGAAGATTGGGTACCTGGTTTTATCATGATGCACCTATTTATCATGATACAAATTATGCAGAGAACTTGAAATTTTCTTTTTTATTAAAGTTGGTCAACTGGTGAAGGATTACTGGTAATCTTGTACTTGTGCTCAATGTGCCAGTTGTGGCCCAGTGGGCCACAATTGGCACATGAGCAGGGGAATTTTATTACTTGTTACAATCCCAACTTAATGATAATGCAAATTATGTAGAGAATTTTGAAATATTCAATGATTAATGCTGATATTGAATGATTAAATGTCCAGGACCATCAGTATTTATGCACATTGCCCACATGTGGTTTCTGGGCACCTCACTTTGTGGTGCTCCATTCCCTTCCCCCCCCCCCCCCCCCATAAAGTAAAACATTTTGGCCTAATTTTTGGAACAGTTTTAATTCTAGGGAGAAAAGGCGGATGTGATCTTTTCAGATCTATCACCTGTCATCAGCAATGGATAAATTCCAGTAGTGGAATATCCTGAGCTAACCATAAAAAAGGAGAAACAAGGAAAAGCAATTATTCCCTGTTAGGGATTCTGGGGTGACTTTTCCTTTTTTGACATTTCCATTTTTGGGGGGAAGATAAGCTGCACCAAAAATGGGAGGAATTGATAAGGCATTCCTGAGGGCAAACACATAAAAACAAAAACAGCACAGATAATTTATTATTAGGAAATTAATGCAAATTTTGCCAGAGTCCAAAATTTATCAATAAGACATGAGGCCAAATATCCAAGAATCTGAAATTTGTCACTCAGACATTAATCCAAGTTTTTGCGGCAAAGGAATTGAATAATCCCCTCCTGGATAACAGATTGCATGTTTATCTGAAGTTATCCTGCAAACCCAGGGCACAAATGGTGGTTATAAGAGCCAAATTCTGCTCTTTTGTGGGCTAGAGACCTGGAATGGTAAACACACAAGGACAACTTAGAGAAATGGCAATCTTCACTGAACTGGCACAAAACAAGGCAGGTGCCGCAGAACCAAAAAAGCTACAAAGATCTACTGTCACTGCCAAGGGATGGTGCCAATCTGCACCATCACCTCCTGGCCCTGGAGCAGAGCCTGGAATCCAAACTTTGCCTTGAAAATCCACTTGCAACCCCAAAGAATTCGTGAGTGGCTTTCCTTGAGGCAAGCTTACTTCTGCACCTTGCAGAAGGCTTCCAAACAATTGGAAAAGTGCCTAGAAGATCATGAGGATGCTCTTCAAATTGCTGGTCTGGACCCCATCAACTTCCAGATACCTGAGGGGGCAGCTGCTCTCTCCCAAGAAACAGCTGAGGCACCAACTCCTACACCTCCAGGAGCTGTGAAAGAATCAAGAAGCTCACCCCTTGGAGCTGTCAAAACACCTGCTTCTGTTTCATCCACTTGTCTAGAGGAGCACTTTCCTGTGGACCTGAGTGCTCTCCAAAGAGTACTTGAATGATCTGGATGGGTGCCTGAACAAGAACTTGGAGGCATACAAAGCCTCAATGAGTGAAAGGTCAGTCCATCACCTGGTCAAGATTACCAGTGTACAAGAAAATCTGTCTGCTCACATTGAGGAATTGATGGGCAAACTGGAAGATCCCAAAAGTGCAAAACCCAACAGTGTGCGCCTCACCATGCATGACTTCCTAGATAGTGTGTCCCTTGCAGATTCTGTACTAGCAAAGCAGCCACTTAACCCTCTGGAAGCTATCTGTGAGGATCCTGTGTCAGACCCAAAACTGGGTGGACCAATCTGCTGCACTGGTGAAACATTCAGTGTCTGCTGAATTAACAAAACCAGCTGCAACCTATTCCCCACCAATGGTGTCAGTGCATGAAGACCCCCATGAGAACCTGGTTCTTGGGTGAGGCCACCCTAAAGGTAATTCCTGACTTCAATGGAGCTTTTGATGAGTATCATGCCTGGAGAAAAGCTGCCAGCCAGTGTATTGCACTTCCTTAATTGCTGGAGGAGACCAAGCTGAAT